TATTTTCAACCACAAATTCTTCAATAAAATAATATTTTCCATCACATCAATAATTTTTCCTTACTTTTTAACCACATATTTCTCATTATATCACTATTTAAAATATATTATTTTCTCAATAATATCCATCAAACACACCCTACTTAAATATTTAATAATGTAAGATTTACCTGTATATACCCCGAGATTTGCCCTTAATATGCTCTTCAATATGAATCCAAATGCTCGTTTTGAATTTTAGACAGATCAAATTACTCGTTTAAATTTAATAGACTCTGATAACATATTATTTAAGATTTGAATTTCATCTTAAAGAAGCAACTTTGTTAAAAAGATTAACATAAACTCTTATATGTTGATTTTACACCAATATAAAATCGATATAGATAAACTATGAGATTTATCTATATATGTGCTCTGTGAGAACAATGAGCAAATGATTATTTGGATTGAAATATATTTCATCTGTTAATTCATTGAAAGATTTACAACTTAAGCATTTTACTATGATAGTTGTTGACTTTCGAGCAAGATATCGTAAAGATGGAGAATGTAGATTCAGTCAACATTTTAATGATTCATTCTTCACTATTAAAGGGATTTTCAATAATATAAATACTACGTGTTACCACACAATTATTTCCATGGAAAAAACAAATGACTTTTTTTATTTCATTCTTTAATTGAAAATATTGAATTTGAAATCTCGAACTCGAAGTTTTTTCCCCCCCAAGCAACCTACCCTATTCAGTCGCGACTCATTCGGTATTCAGGTTAGAAGTCGATACTTCTCAAGATGACTAGAACTAATGTCAGAGAATACCATACTTTCAAAATGAATCCAAGTATTCTTCCTTCTAGTTAGAAAGTTTGCTAGCTAGCAATTGCAATCTTGAGACACGATCAATGACGTGTTGATCAAGAACGGTACAAATGTGAGATAATGATTTAATATCAGCAACGATTATGTTGTTTGTACAGAAATGGCAATTTAGCAGTAGTGCCGAAGACGAGTTGGAGGGAAATGATTGGATCAAAAGGTTGATTATATTTTAAACTGTCCAATGATAAAAATATTATGTAAATCTTGATTTGTGTGTAACAAGGTCCTATCAACAATATGAAAAAAATAGATTATCGCTCCCTTCATGAATTTTTTATTTTTTTTCATTTTTTCAATGAATTTGGACATTTGGTAGTATACAAAGTATAATGCAGTTTTCTTGAAGAAAGGTACATATGATAACGACTTAGCTCGACAATATAAATGAATAAAATTTATCACACTTTTCATGAATTTTTTTATTTATCTTAAAGATGGTCTTGCATAGGAAGTGTATTTGGCATGTGATAGTGACACATGCATGAACCTCCTTCGTTTTGGGATCACTAGTAGCACATTTTTCTTGATACTTATGTTTGAGAACGATTTCATACCTAACTTTTTTGTGTTCAATTAAAATATTTGATAAATTTTATAGAGGGTTAACTTCATTTGTGATTGTTGAATTTTTAGTGAAATATCAATTGAATCACACAATTTTATATCAATAAGGTCAAATGTACTTTCAGTCTTAATCACTTCATTATTAAACTGTCTTGTGGTTTCATCATATTGCAGACAGTAGGATGCTGGAGCTTTTGTCTGTTATAATAAAAAGATTCAAAAGTTTTTCTCTTTATTTTTTTCACAATTTTCAATTTTTTTTATAATTCAACTAACTTTTAAAGTGTCAATTATTGCATTTGCATCGTTATTGCATACATGGAATGTAGCTATTCTTCACACTCATTAATCGTTGTCAAATAGTTTCAAATGTTCATGCACCCTCTGAGCACACTTAACATGGAGACGCGAGCGATAGAAGAATTGGGGGACGGAATCGAAGTGTAGAAGAGATTTTTGCTTGCATTAGATCAAATATCTACTCTACTGCAAGAGAACCAAAACATTTATACTTTCAATCGGTGAACAGTAAATACCATATCAGGTGATTTAACTAAACTTTTGGTGCCTGGTGGGACGTAGACAAGAATGCTTAGGTTTCTTTTGACATGATTTTACTTTCACTTTTACATTTTATAGAAGAACTTTTAAAGAAAAAAACCTTAATTATTGTCTGAAAACTAATTTTTAAAAGAATTTCCTATTCCGAAAGTACTTGTAGAGGGAAGCCACATTGGACAAGCTTCCTCTAAAAGTTTTTTTAACTACGAAAAGCACTTTTATAAAATTAGCCACCAAACAAATTCAATTCAAATGCAACTTTTGGGTCTCAAAAACTCATTTTTGATTTCTCAAAAGCCATGCCAAATGGGCACTTATTCTACATTTATTGTACATACAATAACAGGATGCAGTGACTGCACCTTACTATTCCAATGTAATTTATAACTCCCATTTTTCTGAGGTCAATGGGAAATAAGTAGATGCATGTTAATCCCATATGTATACAAAAAAAAAATTAATTTTTTGGCTCTCTCTCTTTCCTAATCCACTGTCTGTCATGTTTTCTTGAATTTTGTGTCCTATGCTTCCTCGTGCGAGAATTGCTGCGCTTGCTAGAGCCAGGTTTGTTGTCCGAATTTGTTGCTGTCGGATCTTTGTTTTCCAGCGCCAATTCTGTTAAGGGCAGGGTAACTGGCCTGGGAAGATACATGCCTGGCAATAAAACTTCATTTCTTTTGGGCTCAATTAAGCCACTATTTTCTTGCTGGAGTTTCAATACAGCCTCGAACTTTTCTTTCCTAAATTTCTCTGATTCGGACTCGAGAAAGTCCTCATCAACTTCAATTCCACCGGAGTCCTACGATTAACAAAATTTCATTTACAGCATTTTACATAATAAATAAAATAAAATTAATACATAAATCAGTAAGAAAATGAACCGCATAAACAAAAAGGAGCATTATGTTTGACTTCAACATTATCTTTTTCCATGATTAGCCCAATAGATTAGGGGACTCAAAATGTAGCTTTTGATCGTTTACAAAAAATTTCACTCCTGAGGTACGAATAAAAACTAAATTGGGAGGAAACAAATCTAGGACAGAGATCGTGTGCACAATAGTTGTGATTAATAAAGTTATTGTCTCAAGACTTCAACTGCAGTTGCAAACTATGTAATTTCCAATCTGTAAAAGCTTAACCAACAAGCCATGCTGGACCTCCACATAACATAATATGCAGTCCACTCGGCCAAACCTTGGGAAAAATTAGTGGGTTTGTGATTGATTCTATTGATGGAACCACAGGTGCAAGCACCTCATTCTCTAAGATCACCCTCAAGTCCGTTAGCAACTAAATGCAACCCTGAATTTTGTTCTAATTTTCTCTCCAACTTACAACCTGTTTCAGCAGGTAATTAAACCACGACACAGTGACTGAAGTAGCAAATAAAAACTTGAGAGGAGAAACAGTAAGCATTGTGGCATCATTTCAAGAATTATTGAAACTGGGGAACATAATCCAAAATACCCTTCACATATAACTGACAAACATATACATCTTTTAGCAACTTACAAAGATACTAACGGAAAAACATTTAAAAAATCCATATAGATAAGCTTAGTGACATACCAACAGGGTATGAATCCCAACCAAGTTGAGCACGTGTTCAATATCCTTGGCATGGAAAACTTTACGACAAACAGGGCACTTTCCTATACTCTCTTCCAACGTTTTATGCATACCTATGCAAGACAATAATCATTCATAAGAATTAGAACAAGTACGAGTATGTACTACTAACTTTCCAATGATATGGAGCTTTTCTCATGGTATAAAAAGGCGGTAGTGAGGCTCGCCCTGAGGCCCGCCTCACTGTAAGGCGCATGTAGTATGCATCGAGGCGGTATTTTTGAGGCTAAAAATATCAGGCTTATGCCTCTAAATCTGAGGCGCACGCTTCATGGAGCATG